ACTAAGGACAAGAATATACTACCATTTCTCCTTAGCTGCATAAAAAACACATGTGGGAGATGCAGGCCAGCAAGCAGAGATTATTGAATGAAGTGTTGAAATATTACTGAGAAATATTTCTTTTTTTAAAAAAATGGAAATATTAATGGAAAAATGAAAAATTTTAGATCAAATAATAGATTCCATTTAGACAACTGCAGCCAGATTTTTTTCCCCTGCTGTTGGAAGAAATGTCCATCTGGGTTCAGTTCCAAGTGGGGGAAAAAGACACTGGAAACATGGAGATTGCTTGGAAAGATGGTTTTTAATGGTAGACAGGATCACATGCCTTGATGATGTTGGGTGAAGAAAAAAAAGAGGGGGGAGATGCTGAGCGCGCCTGAGTTTTATACCCTCTCTGGGCTTTTGAATTTAAGCTTGTATTCTGATTGGTTGCCAGACTCCTATGGGGCTGTGCAGAGGCAACTCTGTAGGCTGTCTGAGTCCCAGGCTTGGTTGAGCCTTGCTCGGTGATGTAATCTTCCCAGGTGCCATGTGGTGAGATGGGTAGAGAGCTAATCCTATCATGTATTGAATGCCATGTCTTAATCCCATCACCCTGAAGCTGAAGTGGGGGGTGGGAGGCAGGGAGCTGCAGGAAGCTGCTTTGTCTTTAAAAAAAATGTTTCTCCTTTTCTTATCCAGGGAAATATAATATTCTGCCTTTTTAATATTTCCTAAAATATTTCATTCTTCTAGGAGAGGGATGGGTGCTAACTTCCTTCAATGCAATCTATGGTTGATTAACATTATAAAGAAAGACTTCAACAGGGCAGAAATAGTTGCAAAATGAGAACTACGACACAGCATATATCTGTAAAAAAAACCATTTTCTTCCTCCATCTTTTTGTCCTTATTTGGAATTTGAGTTTCATTTATTTTAGAATAAAACATATTCTTTAGAAATATTTTTGTACTGGCTACAAATGATGGAACTGTTATTATACTTCCTCACCACCCAAAATGTCCAATGATCCTGTTGTTCAACAGTACAACAGGCCACCTTAGCAAAACTGAATTCCTATTCCTTACATTTATTGTTTTTTAAAGATAATGATTGGTATTGTAGTGCATGGGTCCCCAACCTCTGGGCCAGGGCTCACTAGTGGGCCGTGAACTTGTTTGAAACCAGGCCACGGAAATGGCAGGCGAGTGCATGCACATCAGTGGTGGGTTCAATCCGGTTCTATAGAATCAGTAGTAAAATAGGCAGGAGGCTCTGCCCACCCGCCATGACGTCATCATGGGTGATCTGCACATGCGCAGAAGCTTCCACCTGTGCTCTCATTGCAAACTGGTAGTAAAGGTAAGTGGAACCCACCCCTGATGCACATGTACATTCCCATGTGCATGAGCAGTGTGCGAGCACATGCACGTCTACTCCATTTGCATAAGGGGCAAGTGCGTGTGCACACCGCTTGCGCAAATGGAGCTGCATGCGCTTGCAGGTGCTGGCCAACCACTCGCACGGAACCATCCCCTCTCCCCTCCCCTCCAATCCACAAAGCTAGAAAGGTTGGGGATTTCTGTTGTAGTGGGTATTGATTTTCAGTAGCGGATTTTCTGCTTCATCAGAAGCTGGATTACATGACCTAGGATTCTTTCCAACTCCATGGGTGCTAATGTGACAACAAAACCTTACAATGTGACCCAGATTGGCAAAGGTATTTTAAAGGCAGGGGTATAGGAATGCCAAAGGTCATCGTCAAGTGCAAATTAGATGTATGAAATGTAGCATCTGGTTAGAAATGGATATGTAATGTATTAATATTTTCTCTTTCTTTAGCAGATTATTTCCAACTCATATGATTGTACATACTGAGGGGTGGCTATAGACAAGAAACAGGCATTGTAGCTCACTACGATAATTTATTATGTGTATAAGAAAATGTAGATTCAGTCCATGGCATTTAAAGAAATTGAAAAAGCTAGGATAGGAAAGAATCTCAGGCAATTATTAGTCCACCAGTTTCTCATGGTACTCTTTGGGGCTGGTTTGTTGAAATAACAAGATACGGAGGATCCCGGATCTGCGCACCTTCCGTCGTGCGCTCAAGATTTTCTTATTTCATCAAGCTGGCCTGGCCTAAATCTTTTCCCCTTTTAAACGTAAATTTTAATTTGTTTTTAAATTATTGGGTATTTTAAATTTGTCTCAGCCAAATTATTTAATTCGTTTTTATTCTATTTTAAATTTTTGTATTTATGTGTTTTATTCTGTGGCTGTTCACCGCCCTGAGTCCTTCGGGAGTAGGGCGGTATATAAATCCAATTTAAAAAAACAAAACAAAACTTAGAATTGTTGTGGTTTTACAATTATATTAAGCACATTTTCCTTTTTTATTTTCATTTTTATTTTCATTCTTATACAATTATTTTCATCATTATTACATAATTACATACAGCACAACTATTTATGAAAAAATACACACACACACATACACAAATCTCAAGTAGAAATCTTTAAAAGTTCTGCTATCTGAAAATATAAAGAAGATTCTTACGGAACAAATAAAATATTTTCCTTTAGGTCTGGAAATCTGGAGTTGTCACCCTGGTTTAATCTAATGCCAATGAGAAGGCATGGATGCAATCACAACATCCCTTTCATATATTTCCCAGCAAGTGATACTGATATGAAGGCACAACTGAGGGAGACATACAGTAAACACTATCATACCACTACTACTACTACTACTACTACTACTACTACTACTACTACTACTACCACTACTACTACTGACATGTCAGGAGCACTGAAACAATTATCTAGTAACATTATTATTGCTGAAAGACGCCCAGCTGGGGCTCCTTTCATGTCCCCATTAAGCTGCCCACCAAAGTTGTACCTATCTATCTACTCATGGTTCTCGCTTTCGAACTTCTGGGTCCAAAAGAGTTGGAGTGAGGGACAGGAGCTCACCCCATCCTATGGTGGCAACTGGGTCTTGAACATGAGCCTCCCAATCATCAGCCCAGTGTCCTAACCACGTGAGCCACTGCATTCTTCCCCTATCATGCTTAGTAATATTTATAATCTTATTAACATAGTTCCTCTCAATTTTGCATTGGACAGACTGCACCTAGAACATTATTCTATACACCAGATTGATAAACTGGAGTGTGTCCAAGAGACAGTCATCAAGGTGATAAAGATCTAGAAAAAACAGTGTTATGAGGAATGGTTGGAGATAATGGATATATTTAGCCTAGAGAAGAGAAAATGGCTGACATGTAGAAGAGGGAGCAGAGTTGAACAACTGAGGACAAAATGAGGCTTAAATTGCATAGATTTTGGCTGGACATCAGAGAAAAAACAACCTTAATGGTAGGAGTTGTTGAACAAAGGAAACAATTGCCTTACAAGATGGTAGCCTCTCCCTTGGTAAAGGTTGTTAATAGCAATTGGATGGTCATTTGTCAGAGATGCTGTAATAGTGGATTTCTACTCTGGGAAAGAGGTTGGATTAGATATCTCCAATATCTCTTTCAATCCTTACATCCCATGCTCATTTTAAAGGGTGGGAATCTAAAGTACTATAGACATACTGGCAAATAAGTAGATGATACTTAATCTAATTTTGTATAGGCAAACTTTGTTCATAGAGAAAAATAGACATTCATGAGGTTTAGAAGTGTTCTTTGGCATGTCAAACTTGAATAGTTCTTTAATGTTTTCATTCCACATTAGCTCTAATCTGGTTACTCCCCTTTTCTTTCTGATGATCTGCTAATCAGCTACCATCTTCTCCCTTTGCTTTCAGCTATGTGTGAAATGATCTTGATATCAAATATCCAAAAGTACCATTTCTGAAGGATCAAAACTTCCTTACTGTGCTAAACCCCAAGCTGTGACTTTCTTACTTTATCGTATTTAAGGACTATGTGAGTGAATGTGCGTGTGTCCTTGTCTTGTCACCAAGTGTAGCAACGCTGCCATAAATCTTCCTCTCTGCACCTAGGAGCAGATACAACATTGAATACTTAATTTGTATGGGTGGCTGATGCACTCATGTTAGACATTATATTTCTTGCTTTCCAACTATGCCATCTCCATTATCTCAATCTCATTATTTCATAGCAGAAATAATGGTGGCTGTGCAACACTTTGGATTTGAGGACTAAAAGATTCATTTGTGTGTCTGCTTGTGTGAGTGTGTATGTGAGATTGAATATAGCAATTTGTTAAATAAACTTGTGCCCTTTCCAAGGATCACAATTTTGTTTCATTCTCATGTTGTTATATTTGTCTTTTAAAATGAAGTAGTTAAAGCCGAGAGGAATCTATTTTGTGAAGCATTTAACAATTTAATAAAGGGATGAATAATACAGTTAAAAGTTTTGCATTAAAATAGGTTCTATGAGCCAAAGAGAACAGAATTATTAGCTTCATAATAGTCTCAGAATTCTAAAGTTGTATCATTTCAGACTGCAAGTGAGGATTGTATCTTTAAAAATTCACTTTAGCTAAAAAAAAAAAAATCCTCTCCAGGAAAAAAAGTAAAACTGGAGAAATAGGGCACCGCTTTCCCCTGATACTCTGGTTTTTATGTTAAGGAGTATTTTTATGAGGGAAAGATTCAAGGTTTTAAGGGCATTGTACAGTTCACTTTAAAAACACACAATTCTAACTACGCAAGTAATTTTATCTCCTGCATACAAACTATTGTTATTGCATATTGTACCAAATAAAAAGTTATGAAATAGGATCATTAATATTTTATAGATAAAGGACTGAGGTAAACAATGATTGATTTAGTCACAATAATCCAGGAAATTCCTGTCTGAGAATTTCAATATAATTTTCAAAGTCAGCTTCTTAAAGCTCTCAGCCAATGCAATCCTATAAATGCCTACATAGGAGCACATTCTGTCTAACTCAGCAGGAGTTATTTATTTCTGAATACATGTGGAGCATAGTATTAGGCCACAAAGCTATGATTCTTTTTTTTCTCACTTACCTTGAGAGATTCATTTATAATCACTGGGACTTACTTCCAAAAAAGAAAATATTATTAATCAGTCCATTAAATTCATTATTGCACTGGAAGGAAAGATTTGGATCAGGCTTCAGACCAACCTGGAGCTACTCCACTTCAAATCGTACTGCTAGTTTCATATTAGAATTACTGTTATTTATAAAGACAAAGATAAACTGCAAAGTAAAGAAATAGGTTATTGGTCTCACTTTTGTCCCTGTTCATTTATTTGCTGAGCGAGGGGTTTTGGCAGAAATTATGTAATATGAATTAGCTATTAATTTCTTTTCCAACAAAAAAGTATTCTAAATGGTTATTGTGTCACTATTTTATTCAAAGGCATAAGATTGGTTGCTGCTGCCAGTCAAAGAGGCTTAATTCTTTCATCGCATTTTAATTCTCAGGAACAGTTTAGTTCATGACTGCTGCTTATCTATGAATAGAAATATAAAACCAGGGTTGTTAAAGCAGCCAGGTTCTTCTTGACATCAGCATATTGGCTGATACAGAGTACCTTTGAAGTCAAGTTGACCCAGAAGATTAAGCACAAAAAGAAGCATGCATTTCCATATTTGGTCAAATACATTGTCTTGTGGATCAATTCAAGGAAAGCTACACATTTACAGCTTCTCCAGCTGCTGAAATTTGTGTTGGTTGAGGTTTAAGCCCAATTAACTAAACGGACAAAACCTCTTTCAAGCAGGCCTAAAATTCCCAGGAAATTGGCCTTTTCTTATGCTGTATTATATTAGTGCTCAAACACAAGTTAAGAAAATAACCATATCTGAATCCAGGTAGTTACAAAAAAAAAAAAAAAAGTACAGGGCTTAGTATTATATGTGACCCAACAGCAATATTTTGGAAATAGGTTCCACCTCTATTCATAAACATATAATTATTGCAGTATGGAAGTGGGATTCTTATAGTCCTCCATATATTTTAATTTAAAAACATATTTTAATTTTTTTGATAACATATTTAAATAATTACTTTTTATCTAAGACTATTGATAGTCTTTATCTATTTGCTGTTTTATTCTATTGTTGTACACCAGGGGTGTCAAACTCGATTTCATTGAGGCAGGGGTGAAATCTAAAATTTCTTACTACCGGTTCTGTGGGCGTGGCTTGGTGGTGGTGGGGGTAATGTGCCTGGGTGAGCGTGGCCAATTTTTTTTTTTTACTTTTAAAACCATTTTTTCTACAATCTCTTCCGCTAAGAGGTTGTAAAAAAATGTTTTCAAAAGGCTCTGATGATCCCAGCTGAGTTCCCTGATGGCAGAGGCTTTTTAAAAACTCAGCTGGGATCGTCATAGCATTTAAAAGAAAAAAAAAACCCTTGTTTTCTTTTAAATGCTCTGATGATCCAAGCTGAGTTCCCTGATAGGCAGGGGCTGCCGATCAGGGAATTTAGCTTGGATTGTCATAGCATTTAAAAGAAAAAAAGGGTTTTTTTTCTTTTAAATGCCTTTGACGAGCCGCACGATGATCAAAGGCTTTTTTTTTTAACTTTTAAAAGCATTTTTTTGGCCGTAGTTGTAGAAAAAATGCTTTTAAAAGTAAAAAAAAAGTCTCTGATGATAGTGCGGCTCAGCTGGGCATGGGGGGGGATTTTTGTTACCTGTTCTCCGAACCACCCGCCTCCATCGCTACCGGATCGGGCGATTCGGTCTGAACCGGGAGCATTTCACCCCTGCATTGATGGCCGCATCAGGGTTGTGTTTGACCTTGGGGTGTGTGGCTAGGGGGCATGGCCAGCTCGACGTCATTCATTGTGGCTCTGTTTTTGGCCATGATGGCCTCCTGCAGCCCTCTGCCAGCAAAAATGGAGCTCCAATTTTGGTACAGGAGGCCGTCGTGGATAAAAACAGAGCCCGGGCAGGCTGTGCTTGGCTTCCCTGAGCTCCGTTTTTGCTGGCAGAGGCACTGCAGGCTGGTCCTTCGCTGTTTCCAGGGTGGGCACACGGCTGGATCTGGCCCGCAGGCCTTGAGTTTGACACCCCTGTTGTACATCATCACCCAGAGTTGCTTTGTACGAGATGGGTGGCTATATAAATCTGAATATTAAATAAATAGAATGTTGCAATGATGGCATTTCCAAGGATACCAAGAGAAACATTTAAAATACCACAATGACAGCTTGTTCAGTACCCTGTAGATATTGACTACATGTCCTTTCAAAACATCTGAAGATCATAATTATAATAAAATTGAGTTAAAACAGCAGATTGAGTATATTATTCATGAGTTTAGGTATGATGGAAATACTTCAAAAGTTAAAAGCAGGTTAAAGTTTAAAAAATATAATTTCTACACATCTTACATCCATGCATGTAAACCTTAATTTTTGCAAAACTCTCTATGATAACCTTCAAGGGTTTATATTCAACAGCATCCACAGGATTCACCACTTTCTTCACAATGCCAAAAGCAGCATTATGATTTCACACTGAAAACCCCACCTGCTAGGGCAGCGATGGCAAACCTTTTGAGCTCGGCATGTCAAAAAATTTTGAAAATTGACTCTGCTGGTGGGGTCACTTCTCCCTCCCTCCCCCAACAAAAGAAAAACAATTCTCTACCTTCCCCCATCTAGGCCTTGCCAGCTGGGGAATACTGGGAGTTGAAGTCCACAGGTCTTATAGTGGCCAAGGTAGGACACCCCTGATCTAGAGACAGACAGCTATTTCCATGTCCATCTGGTTTTTCCTTATTTCATCTGTCACCTGAGATCAGGCAGGTGCCAATGGAAGAAAAAGCTCTCTCTCTCTTTTTTTATGACAAAGACTTCCAAATTGATCTTAACCCAGGTCATTTTATTGGCAGTATTATGGGAAAGGGTTGCCCTTCCTTTTTTTCTGGGATATTTTTCCACCTGCCCTAAACTGTGGGATTTCATGGTGGAACAGTATTCCAACCTGGCACTGTCCTGCTCTAAGAACCCTACTTTTTTTTTTTATTTATTTATATGCCGCCCTTCTCCGAAGACTCAGGGCGGCTTACAATGTGCTCAGCAATAGCCTTCATCCTTTTGTATATTTATACAAAGTCAGCTTATTGCCCCCACAACTGGGTCCTCAATTTACCTACCTTAGAAAGGATGGAAGGCTGAGTCAACCTTGAGCCTTGGCGAGATTCGAACCCTGCAGTAATTGCAGGCAGCTGGTCTTAATAACCAGCTTAATAACAGGGTGCCTTAAACCCCTGTGCTACCAAGGCTCTTGGCAAGCATACTTAATTTGGGGTATCAGATAAACCTAAGAGCTGCTCCTTTTCATCAAAGGCGCTACAAAGATTCTTGTGGCAGCTGCTCCCTTCTTCATTTTGTTCAGGTGAGAACCTTTTAAAAAACTCTTTCAGCTTTCGAGGTTTAATTGTTTTAAACTGCTGCTTTTCACTGCTGTTTTATGGCCTGTTTTTATGTTACTAGTCTGTTTTTATGGTAGCTGATCTTGTTCATTGCCCCAGGAACTAATTACTTGAATGGCTGTATTTAAATATTCCACATTAAGGCATCTCTTCTTAAGAAAGGAAATGCAGCCTTGGAGAGGGAAGCTTAAGCTCAGCTCTATAATTGTGGTTTATTTCTCTCTTCCCCCAGCTCTAATCTTTTCAGTTCTTTGGGATGGCTAAATATATTTTTTATAGTGCAACTTTCGCTCCTTTGCAAATGCTATAGAATAGAAGGATAAGGAATTGTTTTCCTGCTTTGAAAATACTTCAGATTTTCAGAAAGCAAAAAGCTCAGATAGGGGAACCAAAACCAACTGCAGCATAGCAGTATTAAACACTGATCTGTCCTCAAAAAGAGAATGCTTTGACCTTTAGCTGGCAGTCATTGACACCGTTATTCATATGTGAAGCTGATGTTTTGTTTTGTTTTCCTAAACAGATAAGAAAGTGATGACTCTTTTGCCATGAGATGAGGAACTCAAAGTGCTGTTGAGTTTACAAGGCTCCAGGGCTATTCTCTAACCCTAATTACCTCAACTGGATCATGCTGTGAAAAGAGAGTATCAAAATCACGCTTTTGGAAAATGGTAGGCTTTGAAAAATATTGAGCAATCAACTATAAAAGCCTGATTTCCCAAGTGGGTGTTATAATAAATTTAAAAGCTAACTCATTAATTGGTCTCAGATTGACATGGGAAACTGATTTCCGCAAAGCCATAAATGAAACAGAATAAAACCAAACTTGGTTAGAAACCAAGTTTTTCCTTCCTCAGCTAAAATTAAGAACAGTTTGTCCCTTGATCTCTCCAAGTTAGTACATATGAAGACAAAGACAACCAACCCCTTAGGTTGGAATCGGTTAAGGTGAATTTATTTCAACTTATGGCTGATTTGTCTCCAAATTTCTTCCTTTTTCTTCCAGAAAAACAAGTTTGAGCTCACCATTACAATGGTTAACATGTTCTTTCAGAGTCACATTGGGATGTAATATCTAACCATTAACGGTAGTTGTTTTCATGCTAACTGCTGTTGGAATGTCTCTAGACATAGATTGTAAAAAAAATAAAATTACAACCTTTGGTATTTGGTATTGACACATGTGGATATAATGCCATGGCAGAAAATTTTTTAGTACTCAATCATGATAAAAACTAAAATACCTTTTTTAAAGTCAGGACACATGGTTTTATGTTGGGAAATTTTAAAAAACTCAATTGACCTCTCTCTTATTAATAGTATGGTAAGAGAGCCAATGTTTTAGTGGTGTCTTTTCTGTGATATTTTTATATTTCAGGTTTGGATTTAGTATGTAAAATGTTAAAGTTTAATTTAAAAATGTATATTTAAAAAGAAAAGACCAAGCAAGGACAATCCTTTCTAATTTGAAGCAGAATATTCCAAAGGGAGGGAGGGAGGAAGGAAGGAAGGAAGGAAGGAAGGAAGGAAGGAAGGAAGGAAGGGAGGGAGGGAGGGAGGGAGGGAGGGAGGGAGGGAATAATATTAGTGCAAATATTATATACATTGTTAATTTGTTTGATAATCTAAATTTACTGATTACCAGAGTAAAATATTTTTTGGTTAGACATCTTATTAACATCTTATTCATTAAGTTTACTTTTAAGGTAATTGTACAATTGACTATTAATCCATTCATTTGCTACTGTCTATATTGATTGATTGACAAGGGTTCTGTAGTGCAGTGGTGTCAATACTACCCAACTCACACTGCTGGTAATCTTGACATGTCAGAAATAATCTGCTTGATATTGGCCCATAGCTATCAATCTAATTCAGTGTTTAGTTTGAAAAGGTTGTTTGGTTAATAAAAAAAATAAGGGTGGTGATGGTGGCCAGATTTCCCTGTAAAGAGATATTTTATTTAATTTCTTCAAGTAAGTGTGTGTCTTTATCTTCAGTTCTTCCCTTTATTCTTTAAGTGGGAAAGTGGCCAGGGTTAGAAACTCTCATGTCACTTTTGATTTCCTTCCTTCTAGACAGTTAACTTTCCAGGTTTTCTCCAGAGGAATGCTCTACAAAGAGACTCAAGATCAAGACTACATAAATTGCTTCCACATACAATTTTTCAGACTTCCTGGCTCCATGTCTTCAGAGAGAGGGGAAGCAGGCTAGCTACTTGTTTAAGAATAGAGGGAAGGACGAATCTCCCAAACTGGATTGTTGCTGTTGTTATTTTACTGTATGTCTATGGAGCTTCTCAGTCATTGAGGTCATGATTGTCCCAAAGGTGCTTTTTTCTTTTTAATTTTTCTTTTCCATTTTTCCAATTTACATAACAATAAGCGTTTTTTAACAGTACTGTGTCGTGTGTCTTACAGTTATCTACATTTATTTCTATACATTTTTGTTTCTCTATTCTAACCACTTATACCACTTATCCCAAACCTCGTAAAATTCTGTTTCTTCCTTGCCTTTTATTTCTAACGTGAGCTTATACATCTCGGCACATTCTAATCTCTTATGAATAATCCTCTCATTGGCTGGTATATTTTCAAGTTTCCAACACTGGGCATAAATAATTCGTGCTGCTGTTACTATATGTAAAATGATATGTTGGAGTTGCTTTTTTATCTTTTGATTAATTATTCCTAATAAAAATAATTCAGGTTTAAGTTCAATTTGTTCTCCTGTTATCTCCTGTAACCATCTCCTTATCTGTTCCCAATATTTCTTTGCTTTGGGGCATTGCCACCACTCAAAGGTGCTTTTTTTCAAGAGGCAACTGGACTTTCTGGTTTTTCTTTGAAGACGTTTCACTTCTCATCCAAGACGCTTCTTTTACTGTATGCTTGCTCAAACCACTTCTTCAGGGTTCTCACAAAACTTTGCAAGCACAATCCCTTTTATATGAAACTCATCACTGCTATTTTTTTTTTAAAAAAAGTCTGAACTCATGTTTATTTGGAAATTTGGACAATAATATCCTTCTACCTGAATGTTGTACATAAGAAGATTTCTTTGTCTGATTCTAAAGAAGGAAACACACACTGTTCTTCCAAAATCACATTCTGTCATTTGCAAATAGGACATAAAATTACCCAGAACAAAGTTTTCTAACAATAAATGCTTTGTCAAAATGAAAAGGATGCTGAAACATCAATATACATTGAATTTAACTTATATTTTGGCAACTTGGGAGCTTGTCACACAGAATCAATAGACTTTTTTGTCTCCTGTGTTGCATTGATACTCTGCAAAATTGGCTGAAGACCCATTCCCTGTGCGTTTCATTGGAATGACTGAACTATTTGCCTGTACCTGCCAAAGTAGGAAAATTCCAGAGAAGACTCAAGAGCTGTTCTGCTCCTGGAGCCAAAGGTAAATAAAGCCAAAGGAAATTATGATAATTGATCAGATTACAAGTTCAAAAGGTATGCTGAAAATGAGACCTAATGAATGATTTAAGAGTGAGTATTAAGCAAAAATATCATAAAATATTCTGCTTACACACTGCCAAAATTCTTAACCACATGTGGGAAGATTATTAAATGTCATGTTTAATCTATATATTTTTTGTGATTGCTATATTTGTCTGGTGGTGTCTTGCCCTTATTTTACTATTTAATTCAGCTACATTTTGCACCACAATGCTTCCCCCCCGCCCCAATAAATATGATGAATGCTGTATTTATGAAGATGATCCCCTTACATAAAACTGGGTGACCAAGGCCTCTTCTTCTTTCTGCATTCTCCTCTCTATCATTTTCCAGATGTGCTTCTGTGCTGCTGATAAGAAAAGAGGGGCAGAAATAATAAATAAAATAGGCGTTGAACATGATGAACACATCTCTTTCTTTTAAATCTCCCTTCTAAACAATTTAGAATTCTATTTATGAAATTTGCATCTGCAAAAGTATAACATTGGAAAAGTAGAAGTTCTACCTACCTACCTACCTACCTACCTACATACATACCTACCTATAGTCTTCAATGACTATATTGGAAAAATTGATATAGAGAATATTGCATGGAAAAATTGCAATCTCTCTCTCTCTCTCTCTCTCTCTCTCTCTCTCTCACACACACACACACACACACACACACACACAACCCCACAAACAAAAGTTTTCAACATTCCAGGGTGTGAACTACACATTCAAAAAAACCATTGCATTGTCCTTCTTTATCTGCTTTCATATAAGCTTGGAAGACATTTATTTAAGAACTGCCAGGTTGTAGTCCTTGATTGATATTCTTTGGGCTTGGATGTTTGGTAACCAGTTGGGGATAATCACTACTTGGATGAAAGTCTAAATCTTCAGGGCTAAAAGCTGGGGGGGGGGGGGAATCCCCAAAGAAGGCGAAGACAAAATACACCAATTATTACAAAAAATTCTGCATTGATTTGTCCATGAAATCACCAGGAGTTGCACATACTCGTGTGTGTGTGTGTGTGTGTGTGTGTGTTTGTGTGTGTGTGTGTGTGTGTATTTACCAAGTAGTGATTTCATTGTGTATTCTGTTGATTTTAAAACTCTGATCATTTTGTTTGTTTGTTTTTAAGTAAGATTTTTTTAATGATTTGGAATTATATTGATTTCATGTAGCTTTGTGTATTTTTGAAATGAGTGATGGTCATGCTTTTTCCATCTTGATTTCTTAATCTCTTGCCCTGCTTATTTACATAGAACACTTTTGTTGCCAATCTGATAGTTTTCATATGACACCTCTTCGTCATGAAGGAGATGACACATTGTCTTTTGCAGATTTTAATATATTAGGAGAGAGCCAGTTTATATAGCGGCTCAGTCATCAGGCTGGAAACCAGGAGACTCTTAAATTGTAGTGCCACCTAAACCACAAAGCCAGCTGGGTGACCTTGGTCTAATCACTTTCTTCAGTCCTAGGAAGGAGGCAGTGACAAACACTTCTGAAAAACACTCAGGAAAACACTTTTCTAAGAAAACAGCAATGATTTGTCCAGGCAGTCTCTGAGAGTCAACACCAGTGGTGAAATCCAGTTGGATCTATCCAGCTCGCGTGATCCAGTAGTGCTGGCGGTGGGAGGCTCTGCCCACCCGGACATCATTACGTCCTGTTTTTGACCCTCTGCACACGCGCAGAAGGCTCTGTGCATGTGTGGAGGAGGCATGCGCATGCAAGCGTAGCAAGCACACAAGAGCGCGCTCACATTTGCAATCCGGTAGCAAAGGTAAGCACATTTTGCCCCTGGTCAACACGATTGAACAGAAGGGGGGAAAAACAAATATTAGGAGATGGCAAGCATATAGCCATTTTTGTGTGTTGCCACAAGCAGTTTTGTCTCCTTGAAACCTGGTTGGTGCATTGCAACCAAATAATTGGCAGAAGCATTTTGCATTTTTACATGTGCATGGAAGCCATTTGGTGTGTAGGTTCAAGAAACATAAAATAGAACAAGAGAAGCATTGTATAGCACCTTTTCAGACTCGTATACAAAATAAATCTTGTTTTCTATTCTTAACTTTCGCAAGAAGTTTAAGGATTAAAATTCTGGGAAGCTGCTTTGTTTCTTGGAAAAAGAAACCGAAAGAATTTATATTACACTCAAAACTTTCCAGGATGGGTGGTGGAATAGTGCTGCTCTGACACTATCTAAAATCCAAATATTTTTCCATGCTTTTCACAGCAGTGAATTTTTCCACCTTTCAACATCTATCTTCCCAAATTCAGCAAATATATAGTATGCTATTTGGAGATGCATTCTAGAGAAGATAATATGAATTACATTTTTTTACAAAAAAATTAATCATTTTCATTAAATTAAAAGCTAAAAGGATTTCCTTATTCAGAGATTATGAGCACTGTTTTTAAGAGGAGGGTGTCTCAAGACCATTCTTTGGCTTGTGAGCTGATTTCTTGCAGGCTAATGATTAAGCACATGCTCAAGAGAAGAGGATTTACACTGTCTTGGTTAGGAAGTTCATAACAGTTACTATGAGATTATGTACTTGGAACTTGCAACAAGACAATACAATGTGAAATGACCTAGTTAAAGGTATCAGCTAATCAGCCAGCCATGTCTTCCTCAGGATCTTCAGTATATTGCTTTTCACCTTCCTAGTTTTCATCTTATCAGCCACCTTCCCACTTCCCTTGAGAAGACTCACTCCTCCTTGGACTACCTAGAGAAAGGTGAGGGGCTGGATAGTCTCCTGAAGATATTTCATTTTTTCCTACAAATGTTGTTGTACTCCTCCCTCCTACTATATTCTCTTTTTTGTGTGGATGGAGTATAAATGGCATGGGGTCATTTATCTCCCAAAGATTCAAACTTGAGGAAGTTTGCATTTCTGCAATAAACCTGAAGGGTTTCTTTTTTTGTTGATAGCATGGATGGGCAAGGTTTGGATGGTGTATTGTCCCACTCACTCGCATGCACACATCACAATAGTTTTACTAGGTTGATTAATATTCCCCAGCAATTCCCTTCACCAATAACTCAGAGCGGTCCCAATTAAGTCCAGCGAAAAGCAGACCAACATTAGTCCACAGAGCAATGGCCAATGAGTCCACAAGGCATATGAAAGTTTTCCAAACAAGACAAATCCACTGGGCAAAATTAAATCCACAATACAAGAGGGTTCACAAGGCATGATCCAAGTCAGGGCACAGTATCAATCCCAAGCAAGGCAGGAATCACAACAACCAGGAAACACATAGCTAGGAAATGAACACATTGTTCCCAGCATCACCTCCATCTATCTGCTATGCTAACTAGCCGGCTACTTAAGAGGGATGAGGCTGCCTCCTCATGAGTAATCTGGCTGACCTTCACTATTCCTGCCTTTTCTCTGCCCTACGTGTTCTCAGATCAGGTGCAGAAGGCAGTTCTTCATCCTCATCTCTGACTGGCTGCAGCTGCATACTTTCCCCACCCGAAGCCTCAGGGCTGTCCTACTGCAGCTGTGCTTCAGCCAATCCTTCTCAAACAACTGCTTGGAACCATTGACCAAATCCCCTCCAGACATGCCCAGAACTGGTTTATCCTCCTTTGAACTGATATCTGAAGATGTATCTGGGGCCCTGTCAAGGGGGGAGAGGAGTCATCACAGATGGCCAAAAATAACAATTCGCATTTTTTAGAAGGACAACAGTGGGCAGGGCAATAGCACAGCATGGGCTCAAGATGTCTTGTACATAAGGATTTTTGCAGATGTGGGAATTTGAGGGACATACATACACACACATCCTCAACATTTTACTGAGACAATAGGATTCCATTATTGTTTTAGAAGTTCCATTAATAATATAGGGTTCAAACTCAGACAGAAGCCAATATGCACAGGGCATTGCATTACAACTCTTCTTCAGGTTATTTCCACCCTTTGTCAGTCTCCAGATTCTCAGAAAAACTTAAGAGACAATCCAACAATATTTTTACCTATATTATAGTTGAAATACCAACAATAAGAGGTGGAAATCATGGGCCTCCCTGCTTCTTAGGTAGTCATGGTTTCTGCTACAACAAAAATCCTCTCATCCAGGAAGGATGGCAAACAGAAGGACAAGAAAGAAAATAAAAGAAAACTCAGTAGCTTTGAATGGCTCTTTCCAGTTTGAAGAAAAGGTGGGAATTGATAAAATTCTTGTGATTGTAATTTTATTTGAGCAATGGAGGAGAAGTTGCAATGTCATC